GGTTTAGTCTCTTCTGTTCCCCTGCTCTCTGGATTGTTGACTCTGAGCATTTCGCATGACAAAAAAAAATACCCTATGCTAACATGTCCTTGGCAACTCTGATTGTCTACAGCTTTACAGCAACCATGTTCTTCAGATGAAGCTGCCGTTGGTTTTCCCTTTTTCTCTAGCCAAGCAGCGTTTATTTAGAAAGCTCTGGGTGCAGTGTCTGGCTGATAGTGCCCCATGCTGTTCTGCCTTATTCCTGAAGCTTCCATGCGTCTCTTTACATTTATAAATATTCTCCTCTTGCACCCATGCTGCCTCCCGTTACTCGGATGTGCAGTGAATGGTGAAGATGTTTGCTAAGTCTCAAACACGCGGCTTCTCTTCAGACTTCGGAGCTGGCTCTGCTGGGGGCCACGGAGATGATCATTCATTCAGTCTGATGGGCCCCGTCTCTCCATTTATCAGTCACGGATGGTTGAGGGATTTTTGAATCATTTTATGTCTTACCGAAGTTTGATAGATTCTCATTTAAGAAGAGAATTGCTTTTCCTCCTTCTCTCTCTGACTTGTGGTCCTTTCTTTGTATTAGGGGTCCTGGTTGTTCAGGATCTGCTTGTCTAGACCCTTAGCTAAATATAGCTTGTTTCCCCGTCTCTGGCCAGGGTGATCCCTATTCTTAGCAGATAGGAAAATATGTAATTAATGTTAAAAGAATGAATTCTAGTGACATCCTTTGCCTTTTGGTTGTTTGACTTTTGAAACCATCCTTTATCTGGGGTACCATGCTCCCAATCAGTGACCTCTTAGGACTGCTGCCACTGATTCCCTGTTTTTTTGTTTTTTGTTTTTTTCAGTTATCTTTTTAAAGCTTTTATTTATTTATTTGACAGACAGAGATCACAAGGAGGCAGAGAGGCAGGCAGAGAGAGACGGGGAAGCAGGCTCCCTGCCAAGCAGAGAGCCCGATGTGGGGCTCGATCCCAGACCCTGGGATCATGACCTGAGCCGAAGGCAGAGGCTTTAACCCACTGAGCCACCCAGGCGCCCTGATTCCCTGTTGAATAGCTTCAGCTGAGATGCTGGTGTTTGACCATATTTTCAGGAGATCGGAGGCCTTTCTTGTATTTTTTTTTCCCCCATAGGAAGAAGTATGGCCTACCAATCACCACAGGTTTAAGACTTCCTGGACACAGGATGTTAATGCCTGAGAAGAGCAGGTGCCCAACATGTATATAAAAGCAGTCAGTGGTAGAAACAGGCAGGCTGGTGGGAAGGTACATGTCTCACCTAAAACATTCAAAGTCAGCGTGAAACAGGGCAAATTTTGGCCCACATCCTACCTTGGAAACACCTTTCAGAATTTGAGATCTGGCTTTGAGGGGACCAACTGCTCCAGTTTTCCGGGAACCGAGGGGTTCTCTGGGAGGTAGCATTTTCAGGGCTAAAACTGCAACATTCCTGGACAAACCAGATGGTTTTTCACCCAAGCTCTAGCATGTTCAGTGCATATGAGCATTGTCTTAAACTAGACTGTAGCTAAACTAAAGCTTTAAAAATAGGGAAGACTTGTTGGATCAATTAGTTTCACCTATTAAAACCAGAAAGAAGTGTTTCTTCTTCTTCTTTTTTTTCTTTTTCCTCTGTAAATTTGCAGTTTTCAATGGAGAAAAAAAGTAGCAATGCTCACTCTTTTATTCTTATAAGCAAAGCAGGACTTTAAACTCTATTTGAGGGATGACCCCTTTTCAGAAATTAGAGGCACTGAATTTATTGCTCAGCCAGTCATAGCTGCCCATCTGCTAATTCTCTCCACATAGTGGGAGCAGCTGTCATTTCAGAAATGCTACAGTAGATAATAAGATTGGGTACGTTTCATCTTCAAATGCTTAAAACAAATCTCTAGGAAGAACAGCGGCAGTTTCTCTGACTGCATGAATCTCGGATATTATTAACACAAAATGCCAAATGGATTTGGAGATTGGAAGCAAATGGATTTGCTTTAAAAGGAAAAGCACTCAAGTTACGTGTAGTACATATTGTGATAATCTGCACTTGCGTAGATACAGGGACTGCTGTAGCAATAGGCAGACCCAGAGATACTCTCCCAATCATAGCCACGCAGAGAGCCCTGAGTACAAATACAGACATATGGGCTTCCAAGTCCACACAACCTATGGGTACAAAGGGAATGAATGCATCACTCTCTCCATACCCTGCACAACAAAATTTACCCAAAGCTAATGGCTTTCCTCTGTCTTACATGGGTCATTTCTCCAAATCCACATAATTAGATAATCTCAGATGCCATCCACCGGCCCCCTCTGCGCTGTTTAACAGCCTGAAGTCCAATTGAAAATTTACATTGTTACTCCCTCAGAGTTTTTTTTCTTAGATGAATTCTTTTCTTTTTAGTCTCATAGCTTCCACCTCTAAGTCTGCTCAAGTGAGCTGGTCATTGGACCACAGCCTCTTGTTTTGGTTTCCTAGCCAAGAGGATCCTTTTCAATCAACCTACATAGAGCTCCTTCATTATTCTTCATAATGAAAAAAAAATTAGGGTGAGGTGTGGAACCAATGAACGTTGTCCACGTGCTGCTGTGCATCCCTGAGCCTTCTAGATGGGGATGAAGATGTAAATTTAGATAGAGATGGGGATGTGCACATGAATATAGGTATGGATATGACCTAAAGAGAGACACGGGTAGAGATAGAGTTCTGTAGATATTTCCCCATGGAGATATCATTTCATTTGATCTTCAGCATAATTCGGGGAAGCGAGTTACATTTATTTCTATATTTTTTGCCTATGGGGCTGTTGACTCTCAAAGAGAATCCCAAATCCCATATCCAGCGATAGGACTGTGAGTTGGGAGTCATCTTCTTAAGGCCAACCCAGGGCTTATTCTGACTGCAACACAAGCTTTACTTTTTTCTACTTTTGCTATGAGCATTTTCTCATGTAGACATTGTCCCCACACTTGTTCTCCAAGGAGCACATGGAAAGAGAGAGTTGACATGGAATTGATGGCTACTGGATATATACATTGCCTGCATTTTCATTTATACAGATGGAAGTGCTTTTAAAGGGTCTTACTGATTTCATCACTTTTGATGTTACCAAGAAAAAACACAAATCCCCAGTGTTGATGAGAAACCAGGTCAAGGCAAGGAGAATCACAGAGCGGTTCGTGTCCCGGGGCTCAGGGATGTTGTGCCTGTGAGTACCTTGATTTGAGAAAAGAAATCCATTTAAACACAGCAAATATGCTCAGGACCAAGTCTGGGACGCCTGCTTCTTTCTGCTGCTATCACTGTTCAAGATCTCCTTTATGTTTTACCTCCATCCCTGGTCGCCAGGCAGAACAGATAAACCCTATTTCTCGATGTCATTGCTATTAAAAAGAGGAAGGGAGAAAAAAATAGCAAGAAAAGGACAAAAAAATCACAGAAGAAGGTGAAAAAACCTACTATTTCTCAAGTCAAAATATTTTAATGGTGAGATCGGGATAAATGATTAATCTAAAGATTTTTAGTTTCTAGCGATCTGTAAGGGGAGGCTGACAAGCACCAAGAAACTAATATTTAAAGATAATTTCAGAAACACGAAGATGAGAAAGTGGTGAAAGAAGGAGGCTGAACCTTTTTCCTTCCACCTCCAAGATTTATTGAAAATAGTGATTAAAAAAAACAAAACCAGAAAACGTATCTGGTTCTATACTTAAATGCTAGTACATTTATTCCTTCGAAATTATTTACTGAATACTGATTCTGGTAGTTACTATATTAGGGTTTTGATGGTAACAAAGCACTGTTCCGGCCCCCAGGAGGCTCCCAGTCCAAGGAAAGAGAGGTAAAAATAACTAAATAACAGTAAAACCCCGCCCAAAGTGGTTTATGAGAATCTCTGATTAAGCGGAACTCTGGCAGCTCGTGTAACTAACAGGACCAGAACAGGGTGGCCTGGCAAGGGGACAGCGGACAGGGTTGCTCTGAGGGATCTGTGACCTGTCTGAAGGACCTGATGTGTGGAAGGACTAGGGCTGCAGGAGATGTGGCCTGGCATGGGGGAAAGAGGAGGGGGATGCTGGGCTGCCTCCCCTCCATTCGTGGCCTCTCTCCTGTTAGCTCTCCTGAGTAAATAGCATCGTAGCAGGCCTGCTGGAGGCCTCCCCCGAGCTTGGGCTGGCTGCACTTGGTCATCTCAGAGCATCTCTTTTTTTCGGATGACCTGACCTGACAGCTCAGCGTCTTGGCTTCCCCCTGAATCGCAGGCCGCGCTCTCCTAACCAGCTGCATCAACTTTGTGAAGTAACTTGATGCTTTCCAGTGTGAACGTCTCCGTTTCCCAAATGAGGGGATGGATGATTCCGCTCATGTGTCATGATGTCTTTGCAAAAGATACTTGGGCTCTCTGGGTAAATGTCAAGTGTGCTGTGTCACCTGTATGGATAAGATGGGAGAAGGAGCCATAGGCTTTCTCAGAGGCAAACAGCCCTGGATGTGAAGCCTAGCTCTTAGTTATGTGATCTTGGGCCATTTATGTAGTCATTTTGAAGCTCCAGTCTCTTCACTGGGATGCAGAACTATCCACCTGGCAGAGTTATTGGGCCAGCTGGAAAGAGTGTATATAAGGCACCCGGCATGACAGTTTGAGCTCAACTTAATTATTTGTAGAATTGAAGGTCCCAGAGCCCAGAAAAATTTATCAAATTCATTCTGTGTAGATGCATATAACGGGGAACTATCATTTCCCAAACTTTGTCCTGAAACGGAGATAACCCAATAGCAAGTCAAATATGGTTTCCATTTCTTTTTGGGGCCTGGGAATAATCCCAACAATTCGGGAGCTTGAATGACAGATCCACAGCTTTCTGGACATCTGCAATGGATGCCAATCGGGCAGAAGTCAGAGAAACGCAGGATTCATTAGTTTGTTTGTCTTGTCGAGCTCTATTTTCTCGAGTTATTTTCTTCTCGATGAGTATTTATTTGCTCCTTGTTTGTTCCTGCAGCCACAGATGCTCACTGAAAGGGGAGGATTTGAACAGACAGTGGCTCTCTCCCAGCGCTCGTCTCCAGCCAACGATCTACCACGCCAAAGGGCTCCTGTACTACCTGAGCAGTGTTGGCCGAAGTCCCAGGGTGAGTCACTTCCTTCTGCCTCCACACTCTGGGCTGGTTCCTTCCATCTTTCACGAGGAAGCTTACTTTCTGTCAAAGAAAGAAACCCGGATACAAGCCAAAGACCTATGTGTGACAGGCTTTAATGGGGGATGTATTCATTTCCTAGGGCTGCCATAATAAAGCACCACAGACTGAGTACCTTGAAGCAGAATGGAAACACATTCTCTCACTTTTCTGGAAGCTAGACATCTAAGATCAGGACATCAGCCAGCCATGATATCTCCAAAGGCTCTAGGAAAAACCCTCTATCGCCTATTCCTGGCTTCAGCTGATTGCTGGGAGTCCCGAGTATCCCTTGGCTTGTGGCAGCCAGTCTCGACCCTCTGCCATCCTGTGTGTGTGTGTGTGTGTGTCTGCGTATCTGCGTGTCTGTGTACAGACTTCCCTCTTCTTGTAAGGACAGCAGTCACTGGATTGGGGTGACTTCATTAGGGCCCACCACAATGAGTACGGCCTCATCTGAACTCGATTTCCTCTTCAAAGACTTGTCTCTAAATAAGGTCCCATTCACAGGAACTAAGAATAGAGCTTCAACATGCTTTTTATTTTTTGGAGGGGGGAGACACAGTTTAATCCACAATAGTGGAAAACATTGGTTCAACAACCGTTGGTAAGAGGTGTACAAAAATTGCATTTTATCCCATTTTCTATGTCTTTATTTTTCTGGGTTTTAAGTTATTGGTCAACAAAGAATATGTATCTAATAAGTAGTGTTTGGAAGAAATGCTCTCGATGTTCATATTCATGTTCAAGTAGTACTTACTCCATTCCAGAGATGATTCTGGCACTGTCCTAGGTACTTTTATGTGCCGGGTTTAGCAACTGTACAATTGAGAGAAAACATGACAGATAGTCCACCCCCTGACTTACTGATGGTTCCTACTTAGGATTTTCTTTTTCTTTCTTTCTTTTTTTTTTTTACTTTACCATCGAGTGAAGCTGATTTACGTTTGGTAGGAACCATATTTCATATTTTGACCTTTGGTCTTTTCCCAGGCAAGAGACACGTGGTTCGATCCTCCCTTGCACTGCTGGGCAGTGGCAGCAAGCCAGAACTCCCAGCCAGCCACACAATCAGGAGGATGAGCAACCTCTACCAGTACCACAGTTCGGTACCCATACAGCCATTCTGTTGTTCAGTTTCAGTTTAGTGTTCAATAAATAGATGAGATAAGCAGCACTTTATTATAAAACAGGCCTTGTGTTAGATGATTTCACTCAACTGCGCGCTAATGTAAGGGTCCTGAGCACATGAGGGTAGGGGAGGCTAAGCTGTGTTTGGTAGGTTAGGTGTATTAAATACATTTTCAGTGTATGATATTTTCAATTGATGATGGACTTAACAGGTTGTAATTTCATCATCAATTGATGAAGGTCTGTATTTGGAACCAGAGGCCTAAGCTTAGGATAAGGAAGGAAGCAATGGCAGCCAAGTTAACTAAGAACAATAATTTATTGACTACAAACTGTGAACGTATTCTCTGCAAAAGTATCGAGGGGACATCTGTCCAGACTTAGAGTGCTTGTCTAACCAAGGAACATAAAATAGTGTGGGGAAGCCCACTGATGGGCCAAAAAATCACCTCTCCCATTAACCACTGTTTGAACGTATATTATGTGATTAAAATGGTGGCACGTTCAGTGAATATCTATTGAAATATTAGGTGAATATCTAGTATAGAATCTTACTACAGTATCAAAAAGACTAAGGGGTCAAGTGATTTTCCTGAGGTCTTCAGGAGGTATATGGCAGAGTTGGCATTTAGTTCTGACCTGTTTTCCACCCTGGGACCCAGTCTGTCTTTATCACATACTCTCTGAGAGAGGGTATTGTGGTCCCCAAACTGTCCTCTGGTTCGCTGATTCCCTAGAACAAACAGAACTCAGAATAGCTGTTGTACTTATAATTATAGTTTATTATGGTGAAGGGATACAGATTAAAATCAGCAAAGGTAAAGAGTACATAGGACAGAATCCAGGAGAGACAAGGGTAGGTTTCTAGGCATCTGCTCCCCGTGGAGCTGTATGGACAGAGCTTAATTCAGCAGTGATGTGTGGTGACATGGAGAGTATTGCCAACCAGGGAAGTTTGTCTGAGCTTTGACGTCCAGGGTTTTTACTGGGGCACAGTTAAAGTAATAACCCCACATGGCTGATCTTAGTTACTCAGTCTCCAGCCCCTGTAGAGGTCAAACTGACACATTATGGCCCGAGACCTTCACCATAGATTATACTGTCAGCATCAACCATCGGCATGACCCAAGGTCCTGGTAAAGAAAGACAGTCTTGTCTAGAAGACTATTCTAAGAGTGTTCGAGTGATCTCTCAGGAGCCAGACCTTTCTTGGCAATGTGCAAGGTTTGAGGCAATACTTGACTGCAAAGAGAACAAACAATGTAACAATGTCCTTTCTCCTTTAAAATCCTTGGTCTACACTGTGCAGTGTGTAGTATTTTCATGCTAATCCTCGCCACCCCATCTAAGGAGACACTATAATCTATGTTGTCTACCCTCTAGAAGCAAGGTCATGGCCTGTATAGCAGAACACCAATCTTACAATCAAGGCCTGGGAAGGATGTGTTCTCTGAGAAAAGAAAACTTAGCCTCTGTGAGAAGAGAGATTACAGGGAAAGAGGTCCTTACCTGATACACATTTAAATATACACGCATTCAACCCATAACAAACAGGATTCTTCTCCACTCTGACAACCTCTAATTGAAGAGCAGAACATTTATTTTAAAGCGCGACAGGTGAATGCCTTGTTTAAAAAATATAAATAAACATTAATTAACTGTAAACATGACAGCTACAGACTTGTTTCCTGCTGGGAGCATCTGAGAGGTGGGTGAGAAACAGCTGAGTACTAAATGCTATTCACAGTGTTACAAAACTCTCTAATGGGCTCAGCATCACCTTTTAGTTCCTGTGAGGCTGTATTTAACCAGCCGCCTGCTGACAGCAGAAGCAGTGCCACTCTTACTAGAGCCAGACCTGTCCTGGACACAGAAACTTAACCATGGTGTCCAGATTGGCTCTTGGACTGCGTGGTTATAGATTAACTGACTCTGTCCAACCTCTAGCTCATAGGAATTAAAGTATCAGGACGCTACTTCTGGTGGCTAGGAGATATAACCTGTAGGTGGTAGTCGGACATTTGCCTGTTGGTGAGTAGAATAATTTGAACTCCCAGAACCAATGAGAATGTGAGATAGTGAGAGAAAGAAGTATCCTGATACTGCCAGGGGTTGCTGAAGACCAGACAGATCATTGAGTTTGTAGACAGTATGGCAATATTTACATATTGTTTCATCTATCCATCCATCCGCCCATCTACCCATCCATCTATCCATCCATCTATTCATGCATTTACTCATCCAATCATCATCCATCCATCCATCAGTCCACCCATCTACCCATCTATCCACCCATCCACTTACTCATCCACTCATCCATCTATCCATCCATATACCCATTCACCCATCCATCCACCCATCCAGCCATTGATCTACTCATCCACCCATCCATCCACCCATCCATTCATTCGTTCATCCACTCATCCATACACCCATTCACCCATCCATCCACCCATCCATCTGGGCAGTCATCCATGTGTCCATTCTTCTACAGCAAGTGTGTATAATCACCACAAAGGAAAAAGATGGTCCTTTTTTTGCACACATGGGGGGGTGGTTTCTATAGTTTACTTTTACAAAGTGGAGTCAGGTCTGCAAAGAAACAAGAAGTACAAAATGGTAAAATCTGCAACAGAAGTCCATGTGAGTTGTTGTAGGAACACAAATAAGGGGTTGAGTCATCTTCCCTCAAGGTTATGGAAAAACCAGAGAAGAGTTTTTGTTTGTTTGTTTGTTTGTTTGTTTGTTTTTATTATAGTAAAGTAGAGAAAAATAATGGTCTTTTCCCAGAGGGTCAACAGGACTGCCTGTGATCTCTTAGATGGTCTTCCTTGTGAAACTTGTGTTCTGGAAGGTTTTCTATAGTTGGGGTGATTGCAAGGGGCAAAGGAAGGAAAGCTTCTTATTACCTTCTGGCATAGATTCGTTTGATATGACACTGACATTATAGTCTCTTTCCCATTTTGTTGAGCCCTAATTTTCTGTCTCTAATTTATGAGAGAGTGTCAAAAAATCTGTTCCAGGTGTTGGATCCAAAACTCAGAAGCATAGCGAATAATGGTACACTCATACATTGGAGTACTATTCAGTAAGAAATAAACAAGACAGAACCTAGCAGTGATGAGCTGCTGGTACGCGCAATAACAGATGGACTTCAGAAGCATGTTGAGTGACATAGGATAGACACTAGGGGGTATACACTCCTCTGTTTCTACTTATGTAAAGTGCAAGATGGAGGAATCAGAACGTTGGTTGCCTCTAGCAAGGGATCCAATAATGGAGTCCAGGGGGACTTTTGAGGTTAGTAGAAATGTTCTATATCTCAATTAAAGCGTCACTTAGACCCAAACTCATTGACTGAAAAGTCATTCGAGGTCTCTGCATGTCACTGTAGGTACATATTTACATAAATACAGAAAATTAAAGACAAACAAATCAAAGCGTAGTCACAGGGATTTGAGGCACAGCTAGGAGACAAAGGGACCTGCCCAAAATGAGACAGACCAATAGGCAGGCATGCACACAGCAGAGTGGAAAGGCTGTGGGAGAAAGATCTGTTTATGAGTCAGAAAGGTCCAGCCAAAGACAAGGCATGCCAGCAGAGAAGCCCAAAGAACAGACTCCACCACTATCAGCTAGTAGGAGGCACTGAATCTGTTCCTGTTTGGGGAGGTCCCCGCGAGGGCCAGGAGGTGTGGACATGGCTAAGGGGAATGGAAGAAAGCTGTGAGTCTCCCTCAGGCTCCCAAGAAGGCAGGCCAACAGCCTCTTCTAGGCTTCTGTGTTGCAGCTGGCCTGGCCCCTGTGTCCCTATGAAGAAACTG